CCCTGAGATCCCCTTGTGACTGTCATTTAATGTGCTGAAATATCACCAAGCCAACCTTCCTGCCCTGTGGGTGCCCCCTTTACTCTGTCTTGCTGAGCCAAACCCTCCACCCTGCTGCAGCACTAACACTCAGCTAGCGCTGGGAAGGCTCAGTTAAAGGGACTCATTTCAGTACCCAGGTCCACAGCCCCAAAGAGATCTGAACCCCAGAATAAATCCATCTTACTCTGTATACATTTGTATACATAGTAAGCTAATGTTGTTTTCCCTCTTTCTTATGCAAAGAGAGAAATGCACAGATGCCTTCCCTCACTCTCAGGTAACAGTGATTTACACTGGGTTTATTAATAAACGTAAGTGATTTTGTTATATATAAAAAGTAGGATTTAAGTGGTCATAAGTGATAGCATACAGAACAAAGTAAGTTACTAAGGAAAATTAAAAACAACAACACTACTGCATCTATATTTAATACCTTAAGTAATCCATCCAATGTAATACCTTACCCTAACAGTTGTTCTAATTATCCTCTTTCACAGACTGGAATGCCTTCAGTCTGGTCCCAGTCCTTCAGATGTTTCCAGTAGACGTGTTAGATGGTAAATGGGTGTTATCAGGACTGGCCACCTCACCTCCAAGGGCTTCGCTCTTAAATAAGTTATGTAGACTGCAGGAAGGCTTTGTTTGCTGGCAAGCCTCTTCTCTCCCTCCATGTGGAAAGATAATAAATGGATGATTGCCATCCATATCAGGTGACCTAAACACACATTCTTGTGGGGACTCTCAGCTCCTCCTATGAGCTTGCTCATAGGAAAAGCAAAACCCATTTACAGATCATTGTCCTTATCAATGAGCCGTCACTTTTCTGAAATACCCTTTATGATGGGTGGATCACAGAAGTCCCCTCAGGGGTCTCTCCAGATGTGCTGATCCAAACCATTGATGTCTGCCTTCCTGCCCTCTAGGGCTCCCCTTCACCCTGTCTTGCTGGGCCAGAATCTCTGGTCTCCTCTAGCCAACACATAGTGGGGATTACCTTCCCCCTGCAGAGCAACACACATGCTGAACCAGCTCAGCTCTGGGAGGACTCAGCTATAAGGCCGCTGGTAGCACCAGGAACCCAGTCCCCAAAAGAGACCAGAACTGCAAATAAATCTGTCTTACCCCGTTTAAAGGCTTTACACAGAAAAGGCTTATTAAGATATCTGCTCCCTTTATCAATGAAAGAAAGATGCACAGTGGTTGCTTCCCCCTAGGTAACAATTATTTACACTAGGCTTGATAATAAACAAAAGTGTTTTATTAAGTTTAAAAAATAGGATTTAAGTTATTGCAAGTGAAAACAGATCAAAGTAAGTTACCAAGTTAAAAACAAAAGACATTATCTAATTCTAATACAGTAAGAAACTTGTTACATGAAAATTCTTATCCTAACAGGTTATTCTTATGCTAGACCAGACTTGATCTTTTTCTGACCTGGGCCCAGGAGCTCTGCCTCCACCCTTTCAGGGTGGAGAGGCAATTTCATAAGCCAGCTGAAGAAAAGAAAACGGTTCCCAGATCCTTGGGTTGAGTTCTGAGCCATTGAGTTCCTAGAGTATCAGTGGCCCTATTTAGCACTTTTAAAATTAAAACCAGATTCACACTTCATATTCCTAACTTCACATACAAATAATATGATGCATGCTCAAAAATAGGATATACAGATTCAGCATACTGTAACTTTAAAAATATGGTATGTGGCCTGTTTTGCATAAAGCATCTTTGAGCAATGCATGGTCATAAGCCAGTTTTCATAAAGCTTGAGGTGAGCATGATACCCTTAGGGCTCATTTAGACTACGCTAGAGTGTTGAAAGAGGATATGCAAATTCTGTGGGAATTTGCATATCTTCTTCAGATCTCATTTTCGAAAGCGGAGCTTTGGAAAGTGAAAGTAGTTTAGATGCAGCTTTTTCGGTGACCCCTCCCTTATCAAAAAGCCGTGTAAATCTCTTTTTTTTTTTTTTCGGGAAGAGGGGCTTTTCGACCGGGGGGGGGGGG